AAAAATGCTTGCACATTGATGTTTATTGCAGCACTATCCACAATTGCTAAGACATAGAACCAACCCAAATGCCCACAAACAGATGAATGAATTGAAAAACTGTGGCACATATACTCTATGGAATACTATTCAGCCATAAAAAACAACAAAACCATGGCTTTTGACAGAAAGTGGAAGAATATGGAAGATTTACTGCTGAGTTAAGCAAGCCAGGCTATGAAGGAGAGACATTGTATGTCCTCACTTAATATATACTAAGTGTTCACATTCTATGACAGAAACTGACTAAAGGATAGAGAAGCATAATAAATGGATGTGAATACCAGATACAGTATGTGTGAGAGAGTAGAGTCTGAGGAAAGACATTTAAAAGGAAAATAGGGAGGCAAAGCATTAATGGGACAAAGAAATGTGATATTATCTGTTGAAGATAATTTTATAGTTTTATCAACTAGACAAGGGAAAAATGTTCACAAGTTGGAATATTCACTTTGTAAGCTAAATAATGTGATTGTACAAAATAAAATACAAAATATAAAAAAATAATTGGGGGGTGATGGAAATGTTCTGTATCTTCATTATAGTATAGGTAATGATCCCATACAATTGTAAAAATTGAATTGAGGGGCCAGCAGGTGGTGTGGTGGTTGCAGTGCTGAACAGCCACATGGTTGACCACGGTTCAGGTCCCGGACCTGGCAGCTTGCTTGCTTTCTTGTTTTTTTTTTCTTTTTTTTTTTTGGAGAGATTTTCACTGTAGGGCGCGTGCGCTCGCCAGACAGACAGAGAGAGACATAGAGACAGAAAGCGAGAAATCACCCCCCAGGGGGGATGGCCACGCCGCAATCCCTTCTCCTCCATTCTCCTCTCGGGATCTTGGGCACGCACGCACACGCGCCCGGCGTGAGTTTTAAGCCACTGGGTCTGGGACACGAACCGCGGTCGACTACGTGGGAGTCCAGCGACATAGCCATTACGCTAACTGCTGGTTCCCCCGCAGCTTGCTTTCTTCACTTTCTCTCTTTCTTTCTCTCTGGAGTGTGTGTGCCCCATAGCAAATTTAAAAATAATAATAATAATAATAATAACAATAAATAAAAATAAACATTTAATTACATTATTATTTATCTCAAAAAATGAATATTTCAGCATAAAATAAATAATAATGTGATTGAATGTATGGAAGAAAATGAAATAAAAAACCAAAAAAGAAATAAGAAAAATAATAAATAAATAAATAAATAAACAAACAAACAATTCTTTAAACAAAAAACAAAACTGAGTTGAAAGGAGAAAAAAATGGAGGTCATTCCAAAAGCACAGATGAGAGTCATGGAAGAAATTAAAGACCTACATAAATGGAAAGACATCCCATATTCATATTGTGTATATAAACATATACAAAATATTTAGGCATAATAATTCATAATACCAAAAAGTAGGAACACTCCAAATACCCACCCATGAATGGATAAAGAAAATGTAGTTTATGTATACAAACTAGAACATTATCTGGCAATAAAATAGAATAAAGTTAAGTGAAAGAACTTAAGTCACAAAAGACCATGATTTGTATAATTCTACTCAGACAAAACATTGGAGTTAACAAATCCAGAGATATAAAGTAGACTTAGACTTAGTTTCCAGAGGTTGGTGGGGTCAAAGAAAGATTGTTAATGGGTGTATGGAGTATCTTCCTGGGGTGATGAGAACATTCTAAAACTTGATAAAAAAAAATTTGAAAAAAAAGGTGATGGCTGCATGACTCTGTGAATATACTAAAACCTCCAAACTGTTCAGTTTTTTTTTTTTTTTTTTAAGAGATTTTTGCTATAGGGCATGTGTGCTTGCCAGAAAGACATAGACAGAGAGACAGAAAACGAGAAATCACCCCCCAAGGGGGATGGCCATGCCACAATCCCTTCTCCTCCATTCTCCTCTTGGAATCTTGGGCACGTATGCACACGTGCCCGGCACTGAGTTTAAACCACTGGGTCTGGGACTCAAACTGCAGTCAACTACATGGGAGTCCAGTGACATAGCCATTATGCCAACTGCTGGTCCCAAAGAGTGACTTTTATAGTATGTAAATCATATCTGAAAAAAAGCTATTCTTTAAAAAAATCCATGATACCTGAACACAGTTGTCTCAGAGGCTGTATACATTCACTCTGTTTGGTCAGAATCTACCACCACTTACATCAGCAGTGGGTTTTATACCTATTTAGGGGTTTGGATGCAATGAAATTCTTACCTCTTCGAGATAAATGTTATCAAGATCGTATGGCGTTCTGACAGATTCTACCATCCAACTCTCAGGTGTGTTCAAATTCAGCGTGAACAGTGGGGACTGTGGCATATCCAAAAACTTTGCTATTGGACCCTTAGCAAAGCTATTTTCTGAAGTAAAGGAGATCTCTGGTTCTAAGACATAACGGTAAAAGCTGAAATTGAAAAGAAAAGGGCTAGATTTTTCACAGGCAATCACAGTCCTTGAGTTTGCAAGCATTTACATAGGGAAATAACTGGCTTAAGACAAATTAGACTTGGAGGGCATCCTTCCAGTCTGGGAAAAGCACTTCCAAAACCATCTGTGACTTAATGACGCCTTCTAAAGATGTTCAAATGCAAGAGAAGGGAGAGATAAATATGCCATTCCTTCACGTAGGCAGCTGTTGTCAGCGTTTCTGAGTACTTTCCTCCCTTTGAGGAGAACATGCCTCTATTAAAAATGTTTCTATTAAAAATCTAAGTGGTGCTTGGGTTCTCATGCTATCCCTGAAAACACTTGTATAATGATTTAAACATTTTTCCTACAGAAAGACAATGGTAGAAAGTGGAACGCTAGGGTCACCTGCAAACACTGCTTCAATCCATTCAGAATCTAGCTGACGGAACACAGCACATTCCACATTCATAGATTAAGAACTTCCCACAGCCACAACAGGTGCTGCACTGCTACTATTCACTGCTTTTTCTATTACTTTTTCCACAAATGACAGTTCCAAAGCTCAGGACAATGTATGCTAAGCCTATCCTCTTACGTGATACATGTGAATAAACCAAAGTAAGCTTCCAGCAACATATATATTCAAACCTGAAATGACTGCTCTTCTTTTAAGATGAAAGGCACAGAGCAAGCAGTCCAAGTTAATACCATGTAAATGCTCCCATGACCATGCTCTGTTCTCAGAACTTCTGATCACAGAAAAAAATTGGCAAAACTGAATTATTTAATAAATGATTCTTTCAAATACAATGTCCATCTATTAACGTGTTTCATCTTCTAACACTCAGTATTAGCTTTCAAATTCGGTACCAGTTTTTTTCATTACTTTCTTAAATATTAAAGCGTATTTTACCTTTTTAAAGGCATGTCAGAAAGTTTAGATTGGCAGTTCATAAATATTCTTAGATTCATGTTTATCAGGTGAGTCAAAACCTAAAAAGCAAACCAAATGATAAAATATTTAAATTTTCTTTTTGGAAGTTTATTACTTGGCCCTGAGTTGAGAGAGAACATTTTTTAATATGTTAAGAAAAGATCATTATGTTGGGACAAGCAGTTAGCGTGATGGCTATGTCACTGGACTCCCATGTAGTCGACCGCAGTTTGAGTCCGAGACCTGGTGGCTTAAATTCACACCATGCTCGTGTGCGTGTGTGCCCAAGATGCCTAGAGGAGAATGGCGGAGAAGGGACTGCAGTGTGACCATCCCACCGGGGGGTGATTTCTCACTTTCAGTCTCTCTGTCTTTCTGGTGAGCACATGTGCCCTATAGCAAAAACCTCTCCAAAGGAAAAAAGAAAAGAAAAGAAAAGATCATTATCTTTATAGACAATAAGTGACATAAAGTCTACCCTGGAGATATTTCTAGAAATCACAACTTTAGTACAGAATCTAACTCACACATACATCGTGTGTGATGTCAAATGGGAAGGAGCCAACTGCAGACTGCAGTTTCTCACCTCATGGAAGTATAACACATAGCTGTGGGGAGCAGAGGAGAACAGCTATCTCTACACCAGGCAATGTGAGGGCCTATGGGGACAGGTCACATGCTGAAGTGTGAAAAACACACAGGCAGATGCCCACAAAAACATTAGTGATTATAATTCAATAAAAACTTTACTTGGAAAAAAATACAATTAAGAGGGACTAGCAGGTGGCATGGTGGTTAAGGTGCTAGACTCTCACATGGCAGACATGGTTCAAGCCCCAGATCCAGCAGCTTGAAAAATCACACTCTGCGTGTGTGTGTGTGTGTGTACACCCAAAATCCCAGGAGGAAAATGAAAAAGGGATTGCAGCATGGCCATCCCCCCAGGGGATGATTTCTCACTTTCTCTCTCTCCAGTGAGCACACGCACCCTATTGTGAAAATCTAAAACAAAACAAAAAACAACTAAAAGAAACATTGGGCAACAACTTTTTTGTCAGACTTCTTTTTTTCTCTTTTTTTCTTTGGAGAGGTTTTTGCTATAGGCCGCATGTGCTCACCAGAAAGACAGAGAGAGACAGAGAGACAAAAAGCGAGAAATCACCCCCCGGGGGGATGGCCACACCACAATCCCTTCTCCTCCATTCTCCTCTCGGGATCTTGGGCACACAGGCACATGCCCCCGGTGTGAGTTAAGCCACCAGGTCCAGGGCTCGAACCGTGGTCGACTACAGGGGAGTCCAGCAACCCAGCCATTACGCTAACTGCTGGTCCCCAGATTTCTTTTAAATAAATAAATGTAAATTAAAATAAAACATTTTAAATGTACCTATAATGGTAGTAGACATATCTAAAATACATGCTAAAACAAAAAATCCATGATAGTTAAAAGAGAGGAAAACAAAAAAGCAGCATGCTTTTACCTCATTGCCATTTTCTTTTAAACATTTATTTATGTTTTTGTTGTGATTTTTCAAGCAACTGGGTCCAAGTCTCAAACCACAGTTGGCCATGCAGGAATCCAGGACCCTAACTACTATGTTACCTGCTGGCCCCTCTCATCATTTAACTCAAAGATATTTTGCTCTATAAATGAGGAAGTTAATCATGCCTTTTTAAAAGAATTATTCATTTAACTCTATTTATTAATTCATTTATTTTTAATTTGACCAGAGAAAGATAGAAAGAAAGAGAGAGAGAGAGAAGATGAGAAAGCAAGCTACCAGGTCCAGGACTCAAACCATGGTTGGCCATGTGGGAGTGTCCAGCACCTCAACCACCACGCCACCCACTGGTCCCCATTATTCATGTTTTAAATTACAAGAAGTAACCACTGAAATATCTAATTATGAAATTGTTTTAAGAGGCATTATCAACCTTCATGAAGATTTTTCTTCTCAAGATCTCAGCAACGTTCTCCAGTGACAATAACCAACAAAAATTAGAAGGCACGTGATTACTTCAAATAAACATGATGTGAACTACGTACATGGCTACCCTTACCAAGAGCAATGGAGCAAGTCTCTGTGCTTCTCTGGTGACAGGGTCGACAACAGCCACAACATCAAAGTATGTCTCACCTTCCTTTGGCTTCAGTTTAACTGCACTACAAAGATCAAAAAGAGAAAAGTTAATATGAAGATAACAGGAGACAGCTGCGTTGTAGATTTTTGGTCCAACAAAACCTATTAGCCCTCTTACCATTTTAAAATAAAGTAACTATGCTACAATGGTGGTCAACTATGTGATTAAGTTTACACCAAATTTTGCCCTATTAACGCAGGTTCACTCAAAATGGATTGAAAAATATGTGTGAAGAAAGGACAGTCAGCATGAAATTATATTTAACAAAAAAAATACAAAAAGTTACTGATGTTAGCTTCTGACAATTATTGAACATTATGCCAATTACCCTTGTTACTTCTTGGTAACAAGGATCTGAGAAGACAAAGAATAAATAACTTTCTAAAAAATAATATAAAGGGGGTCCAGCCCTGTGGCCTACTGGTTAAAGGAGAAAGATGGATCCCACACAGTCAAACTCATGATTCAAATTCTGGTCCCAGCACATGTGTGCGTGCCCAAAATTCCAATAGTGTGCAGAGAAGGAGAAGAGATTTTGGCATGACTACACCCCACTGGGGGTTGCTTTCTCCCACTCTCTCTTTCTCTGCAAGCACTCATGCCTTCTGGTAAAAAATAAATAAAAAAATAAAAAAATAATTTAAAGATTAAAAAATATATATGTATATATTTTTAAAAATAATAAAACAACATCAGAACAATTCTCCATCCTGTTGAGATTTGGGGCATGCACACAGGCAGCCAATATGTTTTGCAAGCCCTACGGCCAGCCAATATGTTTTGCAAGCCCTGGGGCTGGGATTCAAATCATAGTCAGCCATGTGGGATGGGGCTCCCATAACCATGAGGCCACAGGACTGGCCTAGGACATTTTAATTATATAAACTCATGGGGACTCATGAAGAAATAGACTATCTCTAAAGTGGAAAGGTCTTTGCTCAGAACTCATTATCTTGGCCACAGAAAACAAACAAGATGGCAGGTCAGTTAGGAATGTTTCTTGCATTCATAACTAGGTAATGAGTTATTTCCTGAAAGCACACAGAGCCCTGATAAGACGGGAGTAATCTGGGTACTAAGGGCAAAATTCAATGAGGGTTGCCAGAGCCAAAGAAGTCTCCACCCACTGGCGACCTAAGAAATTAGGAGACAGAGCCAGTGCAAACAGAGGGTATCCACTCCAGCACGCCAGCATCAAACAATCTGACCATGCAAATCTGCTCTCCAAGACACTGGCTGAGAGAAAGCACAGGTTTACCAAACCAAAGTCCAATTCACCCAGACTAGTCAGGTCAGAATCATGGAGTCACAGGCATCTATATTTAAGGTCTCCCTGAGGCACAATCAAGATAGACATGGTATCTCCAAAAGGTCATGGAAAATGTTTGTTATAAAAAATTATGAATGGATTTCTAAATTGTTTTCCACCAAAATAAACTCATACTTTAATTCCAATTTCCATGAACTTTTTGCAGTCTCATCTTACACTTGCCAAGTATAGTTTTCCCTAAAAATAAGTCTAATCACAAGGAGAGAATTCAGACAGTGGGTCATTCCATAAAACAAAAAAAGACAAAAGACCACCACCAGCAACAAAAAGGCAGGGAACTCTTCTGGGTTAAAAGAAACTATTAGGAAGAAGGCACAATAAGGTATGATCTGGACCAAAACAAACACAAGAGACAACTGTAAAAGGTCATTGCTGGGCCATTGTGGAGACCGTCCTAGTACTCAGGAGACATACGCTGGAAGCATTAGGTATACTATGTCATGATGTCTGCAACGAACTTTCAAATGGAAACCAAAAAATGAGAGTGTGCACATGTATGTGACACATATAACCAAACATTACATGGACTATACACACGTACACAGACGACAGGGACAAAGCAAATATGGCATGCTAATGACTGGTGGATCTCAGCTAAAATTGTTTTGGATGTTGGGACTAGCAGTTGGCGTAATGGCTATGCCGCTGGACTCCCACATAGTCGACTGCGGCTTAAAACTCACGCCGGGCACGTGTGCGTGCGTGCCCAAGATCCCGAGAGGAGAATGGAGGAGAAGGGATTGCGGCGTGACCATCCCCCCTGGG